GTATAAAGAACTACTCATTTATTTACAATAAAGGAATCGAGAGTAATTAGACATGCTAAACATGCACTTATTGACTTCTTTCTATCCAACTGAAATCTATGCTAATTATATATCTTACGAGTAGACTAATTGATCTATGCTTAGCAACTATTTTAATTATGACTTTTGCAGCACTGCTGCAGTGGTGCTGCAGTGGTGCTGTACAACCATACTATAAATTCCTGTATGACTTGCACTGCTTGTACCATGTGCTGGTGTTACTGTGCCATCAGAGAAATGCAGAAATTTAGGAGAGAATACATCACTGTTTATAGCATAGCATCACAGTAGTCTCATCAGTGTTCATGATGGTAGTCTCATCAGTGTTCATGATGGTGGTCTCATCAGTGTTCATGATGGTGGTCTCATCAGTGTTCATGATGGTGGTCTCATTGGTGTTCACAAGAATGCCCTTATCAGCCAGGAGAAGGGTCTGAAGATGAGGTGAGTTCAAACTCGAAAGAGTTTCCAGTGCACTTTTTTCCCTTTCAAAACAAGGCAGATATTCATTGCTTTTTGCTATTTTCACAACACTGTTTCCCTCTCATTACACTTTCCTAAATATACAATACTAGTCCTTCTTGCACTGATTGGTTAAATCAGCCTTACAGTTTTTAAACCAAAGTTGAACAATGGATCAATCCATCCAAGCTGTTCCTTAGAACATTCCATAATTGACACAAGGTATCTCCACTCTCTTGGAGGGGTATCCCTGGATTTGTAAGTTAATGTCTGCATTGGTATGGATTGATATGAGAACCAGATATTGTCATTGGTATTAATATCATACCAGGTCACCTTGTAGATACAAATAACTCTGCAATCTGTTAACAGCACATATTAATATACATAGGCTCTCCTCAGCTGAAGTTTAAGAACCTTTTCACCAAATGACACTGCATGTCCTATATCATTTGTAAATTCAGTGTGGGGTTGTCTTCTTATCTCACCAACAGCTACAACATGCAATGCATTTAAAGGATCTCCTTTTGCAATAAATACAAAGTCTGGTTTTTGGGTATAGGTAGCCAGAAGGGAAATAAAATGTGAATCTTGAGCTTCAAGTTGTGAATCCTTAAGTGTTTGTAATATTCTGCATTTGTTAATAAAGTATTCTTGTAACAGTCTTCAGGGACTTCAATGTTAGATGGGTTTTTGAACTTTCCAGGTTGTCTTCTTTGGGTCATTGCAGTCAGTGGAAATGGGAAATTAATATCTGTACATGTTCTTTCACATGGTGACCCTTCTCAGTTTCTGTATTGGTAGCTAAACACAAATATCAAATAGCATTTTAATTTGCAGGAGTAATAATCAATTTTTTGTATGGATCAGATTGGCAACATACCTGGTTGCTAAGCCAGATTTCACTGTGAAGTCATGCTCTCTTTACTTCATGATGTATTCCTTCTATTTTGGTATCTAGTGACAATGTTTTTGTAGGCAGGGTAAAAAAAATGGTAAGATAATGGGAACAGCTCTCAAAAGCTAAGTCATGTCACATTTACTTGCATTGATAACTTACCAATGTCATGATGTATTTTTTCGAGTTGTCTCTTCAGGAATGGCATAAACTCTTTGATGTAAGCAAGATAAAGGTGTTGAGATAATGAGAATGGAAACAACAGCTAAGCCATATCATGTTCACTTGTGCTGACTAAATTTTTACACTCACCAGTTTCAATGTGTGGTTCTGCAATGTTTTTTGGGTGATAAGAAGCAGGAAAGAAAGAAAAGCACAAGTTAGTCAACATCACAAACAGTATACAAAAATATAATGACAATAAGGGAGTTTGTAAGGTATGCAAAAAACATTCTGTGAAATGGATAGAATGAATGATGAAGTGTGATAGATGGAGCATAATTTTAGTTGATGGGTAAAACAAGTTTGTAACTTTCATTGAAATAATTGAAGCAACAGCAGATAGAGGAAGTGTATTAGCTATGTCTAATGTACACACTACTCTATGTCCTCAACGCCTGAGTCACAAAGTCGTTACCATATCACTAATTCTACTCTACCCTATGTACACACTACTCTATGTCCCCAACGCCCGAGTCACAAAGTCGTTACCTGCTTCTGGTTCTAAGAGGCTCCGCAGATACTGAGCCCTTGCATCATCATCTTCACAGGTTGGTAGAATATTATAACTGCTTCTGCTTTCTGAATAGGGTTCCTAGTAAAATACCTATGCAAGGCCGCCTTTTCGTCTTTCGTGAGAGCAAGACGCGAAATTTCTGAGCACAGTTCCATACTGAGACGGACGGATTCAAAGATGTGCTGCGCGCGATGTGATCTAATATAGTAATAGTGGCTATGACGTATTATTAGGAACTTTCAATGATAAGAATATTCGCGTTTGTTTTCAAAATGCTGTGACACCCTGTCCACGGGACAAAAAAAAACCAACGAAGACACTATGTTTTAGAAGATTATTCGTGATTATAGAGGTGCAGTCAAACTCAACTCTTCTAGCTAAGAAAGCACAACCGTTATCTTGCTTACGGAAACCTGACTGCCAAGTTACAGCTTCCTACGTAAAGGGAAAGTACGAGATTACAAGGCGATTGCAAAGCGATTATAGAACGATTACAGGTGATTATTATGTGATTACAGACGATTATTGGCGATTACAAGATGACTACAAGTATTGTTATCCCATAAATGCTGTCATATAGGTATGGGTCGTCCATTTAGTGAAGATTTGAAATGGAGAATGGTCTGGATTGTTATAACAAACGACGTATTATAGTGAACTTCTATACGTGAGTTATTCGGGAGTATATTGAGGAACTTTAGGAAATGGAACTGTGTGTAGAGGTGTTTCCGGTTGTAAGAAGTATTGATATGAAGGTCTGGGTTGGTTTGTTTTTGCTGTCGGAATTCTTTGTGTAGAGATCTTACACACTATACTTTATACAGATTCTGATAGAACTGGTTAACGGGAGGGTAGATTGGTTTTTGGACGAATTGGTTGCAGAAATGGAGGCGAGAACAGGCAAAAGAGTATCCATTCCGACTCTGCGGCGTTCGT